GTACATTAATGAAGAAATTTAAACAAATAGACGTATTTCGTCTCTAACAATTTAAATTTTTAAATGAGATACTTAACATCACCTGATAAATTGCAGTCTTCAATGGCGAAATGTGGGACTAGCATAGCAGTGGACCCCCTGGATGTAATCTTAATGTTTCTTTGATTATGGCTTCTATATAAGGTAATTTAGAGAAGTAATAAATTTATACACGTATATGTGCTATTTAGTGGGGTGGGTAACCCCTTTTTAACAAGATTAATTATTTAAGATGGAATCATAAATCTTAATATAACATGAGAGTCCATTATGTTCAATTGTACAATTCGGTCTATCTTAAGGTCAAATGAGTATTCAAACGAACCATTATTTTGCAAAGACATGTTAAGAATGGAACTTCACATTGCATAAATATCGAATGAATTAATATATAATGGGCTACTCCTAAATTATCTTTTTAAGATGTAAACTTAAGTCTTAATAACGTACGTAGAGCATAGATAAAAATCATGTTGTTATTTTTGTTAGAAAAAATGCAAAAAGGAAATTAGAAATACTGTTGGAATTGTATAAATAAAATAATGGAAAGAAACACTAGTGAATTCAAGAGGATGTTCAAAAATAAGAAAAGTTGAGGCTAAGAAAGAAAATCAAACAAAACGAGACTTGCAACAAAAAGCAGCGTTTTGGGTCCTAGGGAGGAAGACGGTAGGGATGATAAATAGGAGACCCACTCATCAATTTGTCGACTCGATTCTTCTTAGAAACAAATCATGGAGCGATATGAACAAGATTTTTCTATCCAAACTGCTTGTCAGCACTCATAAGTTGGCTCGCAAATTAACTCGTGAGTCAATAAATAATTGACTCGTTATTTTTATTACAAAAAGTACAATATGATATGTAGCTCCTTTTTTTTGCAAATAGTATTAGTCAATTTCAGGCACCCCATTTGGTTGCCTAAATTTGAAATCCCATTTCAATTTTTTTTAATTAAAATAGTGGAAATTAGATTTTATTTTTTTTTAAAAAAATAATAATTAATGGGGCAAGCAGCTCTTGAGCCGAAGGCGAAATTGTTTAGGCGAGTTGGCTCGTGCTCGGCTTACCCTTTAACATCCCTAGGAGAGGGTGACTCGACATAGTGGAGTACGTTGGACTTTAGTGAGAGACAATATCTTGCTCGAGTTTACTTATATTCAATGAGTTTATCGTGGCAATAATTTAAGGTTGTGTTTGATACACAACTTTTTCCTTAGAAAATGAAAAAACTTTTCCATTTCCATGCAAAATAAGTGTTTGATGGGAGAAATTTGGCCAAAAAAAAATTT